ATTATTGGAGTTGTATTGGCGAAAGGCGACACACCCACCATTTGATTGGTTATTGATAAAGAAAATTGCTATCGACGTTACATAAATATCAGCTGATAGTGACGTCGAATTGACGAAGTTGTAACCAGTTTGATCCGGTTCATGTGCTTAATTAAATATAATACGTCAATTAAATACGTCAGTTTAATTAGATTTGATATTCATTTTGTTTATATTATTTAAACGAAACGATGAAATACAATTTGCATTATACAGTACTTACTTTAAAATATGACTAAAATAATATAATTTATTAGGCCTATAAAAATGTAAAAAATGCATTATTTCTGATTAAAATTGAATTCGAATTCTATATTAATTTAATGTTGTTAAATATTCACTTATTTAATTTATTTGTTAAATAAAATATGTCTTCATATAACGTACTGTACGTAATTAGATGAAACGAGGCTTTAGGGTGTAACTATTACATAATTCTAAATTTTAATTATGAAAGAATTAGTTGTACACAAGAGTTGTAAGATTTATTTGATTATATCATTGAATAAGTGTTTTAGTTATATCGTTCTTTATATATTCTTAAACTTCAAGACAAAGGTTTCATAAGACTTTCGAGATATTTTTCAATCCTTCCGAAGAAATTTTATAAATTCATAGTAAAGTTTGAAATAAATATAAAAATATTTATTGATAATTAATTTTGTGTAATAGAATTAATTATTCGCAAAATTATTAATAGATTTATAAATTTTTTTAAAATAAAAACGACACTAAGTTTATGTAGAAAAAAAAAAACACAGATGTGGCATTTAGAATAAGATTTTTTGATGATAAATTTCATATAGACTTTCAAGGATATTAATATCAATTTCCGTTCGAAAATTTAAAGCAATTTTAATAATTTTAAATCAATATTTCTTTATATTTATGTATAAATTAATTTTAAAAATGCGTATTATATATGAGAAGTTTATGAGCAATTTAAAAATTGCACTTATATATCTTTTTGTACAGTTTTTTGCATGTATTAATATAAAATATAAATATTAAATTACAAAACCTGACTAATATTTATGGGTTTATAGATCTGATAAGCAATGATTCATCTTAATTATACATTTTAAACAGTTAATTATTCTATACATTTGAAGCTTAATTTGGAAAATAGATAAAGAATTCTCTTGATTTTATGCAAGACAAATTAATATATTAGTTGATAAATATATAGCAAATACAGTGTAAACTTTTTTTGAATTATTTCTGCTTTTATTACGTATTTTTCTGAGAAGAATGAGTCACATGTCTCAGCAAATCTCATCACAAATTCGACGAGATTAATTTAACAGAAAAGTAAATAATAACCTACATTAATGTGATGATAATGTCATACTAATTTTCCTCTGTAATTAATAGAGCTTTAAATTATTGTAATACTTAATGCATTAACTTATCCGATTATGAAGTTCATGAAAAATGAATGTATTATCACGTCGTTTAAATGCGTTTTTAATTATTTTTCATTAAAATTTAAATAATAAATATCTTTCTATAGGATTTAGTAAATTAATGTTCTCGTCATTCGATAATAATAGTAATTTAGTACATTTTATACTTGAAAAATAATCTTATAAAATGTTCTCAAAATCGCTTTTGTTTATAAAAATACAAATTTAATATCGAGTTTTAATTTGTGAAGTTATTTCGATGAAGCTAAACAGATAAATGATGCGCTTCGGCGAATCACTTGTTATATAACGATGAACAGCGATTATCTTGACGTATGTATGACGTATTTAGAACAGATCATACACATTGAATTTCATATAATAAATGGCTAATGTATAATTCATCTGCTAAAGCGATAACATTCGTTTCATATGATATCGTTAACGCGATTAACGGAATCCCAATGATATGATGCGGAAGAGACTTTTATAATTTTGTCAATGATTCAACGTGGATTCATCGGAATATTTCAAACTTCACACTCATAATTAACAAAACATGATATTTAAATATAAATCTTGCATTATTTATCTCTATATTCAGTTGAAACAAATGATAGATCGTGTTCAGTTTATACAAAAACACATTACTATATTTTAATCGTGGGAGCAGTGAATATCGATATTAAATATCTTGAGATCAGCTTAAATATCTAAGAAAATAGCAATTTTCTTATAGCAATATGTACAATTATATTGTTACAGGACTATAATATAAATTTTGTCTTTTTTAAAACTGTTTACATTAGATTTAATATTATTGTATACAGAGGGTATCCAGGTATGTATATGGAGCTGTAGCAATCCTTTTAATACCAAAGCAAGCAAATATAAAATACATTTAAAATAAAAATAAACATAATAATGCATATAGCGTGATTTCAAATAGGTAAAGTTAGTTAACTAAAGAAATTATAAGGTAACTGAGTAACATTCTCTGAAAAACATAGGGGTCATGGGCTTGGCATCTTCCAAATCTGCCTGGAGCAGCACCTAAATTCTCAAAATCCTAGATACTCCACTGGATATAGGATCACTATTGAATAGATGAAGTTTTCTTTCCCATTATTTGTCTGGCTATTCATCTTATATAAAACAAAATCATTAATTTCCTTTATGTTAATGCTAAACTGATATTGTAACACCTTGTTTTGAGCAGTGTAATTATATAGACTTGATAAGATGTGCGAAGTTACATTAATCTTTCTAGAGTGTAATTTTGACTGTAGGAAGATCAGAAAGAGGTCAAGAGGAAGTTGATATTTTCGAAGATAAAAGGTAAATAACTTCACAAAAACCAGAAATAGCTTCATAAAAGTTTAAAGAATAGCTATCAACTTTATAGCAATGATTATTTTTTATTCTGTCTGATAATGTTAAGTATTCAGATTGTCTTTAGGACCTTCTAACAAAAAGAAAGTCAAACGAATTTACTAGATAAAATGGCATGTCGACGACTGCTACGCTCATTGTAGTTGATTTGATAGAAAAATATAAGCTTACAATAGCTTATATTTTAGTTATATTTAAAGTGATGCTCTGCCAGTCTGTTCGAAAGCTTTTATAGAAAAATTTGAAAGTTGAATGGAAACTAATTTCGAGATTATTGGAGTTGTATTGGCGAAAGGCGACACACCCACCATTTGATTGGTTATTGATAAAGAAAATTGCTATCGACGTTACATAAATATCAGCTGATAGTGACGTCGAATTGACGAAGTTGTAACCAGTTTGATCCGGTTCATGTGCTTAATTAAATATAATACGTCAATTAAATACGTCAGTTTAATTAGATTTGATATTCATTTTGTTTATATTATTTAAACGAAACGATGAAATACAATTTGCATTATACAGTACTTACTTTAAAATATGACTAAAATAATATAATTTATTAGGCCTATAAAAATGTAAAAAATGCATTATTTCTGATTAAAATTGAATTCGAATTCTATATTAATTTAATGTTGTTAAATATTCACTTATTTAATTTATTTGTTAAATAAAATATGTCTTCATATAACGTACTGTACGTAATTAGATGAAACGAGGCTTTAGGGTGTAACTATTACATAATTCTAAATTTTAATTATGAAAGAATTAGTTGTACACAAGAGTTGTAAGATTTATTTGATTATATCATTGAATAAGTGTTTTAGTTATATCGTTCTTTATATATTCTTAAACTTCAAGACAAAGGTTTCATAAGACTTTCGAGATATTTTTCAATCCTTCCGAAGAAATTTTATAAATTCATAGTAAAGTTTGAAATAAATATAAAAATATTTATTGATAATTAATTTTGTGTAATAGAATTAATTATTCGCAAAATTATTAATAGATTTATAAATTTTTTTAAAATAAAAACGACACTAAGTTTATGTAGAAAAAAAAACACAGATGTGGCATTTAGAATAAGATTTTTTGATGATAAATTTCATATAGACTTTCAAGGATATTAATATCAATTTCCGTTCGAAAATTTAAAGCAATTTTAATAATTTTAAATCAATATTTCTTTATATTTATGTATAAATTAATTTTAAAAATGCGTATTATATATGAGAAGTTTATGAGCAATTTAAAAATTGCACTTATATATCTTTTTGTACAGTTTTTTGCATGTATTAATATAAAATATAAATATTAAATTACAAAACCTGACTAATATTTATGGGTTTATAGATCTGATAAGCAATGATTCATCTTAATTATACATTTTAAACAGTTAATTATTCTATACATTTGAAGCTTAATTTGGAAAATAGATAAAGAATTCTCTTGATTTTATGCAAGACAAATTAATATATTAGTTGATAAATATATAGCAAATACAGTGTAAACTTTTTTTGAATTATTTCTGCTTTTATTACGTATTTTTCTGAGAAGAATGAGTCACATGTCTCAGCAAATCTCATCACAAATTCGACGAGATTAATTTAACAGAAAAGTAAATAATAACCTACATTAATGTGATGATAATGTCATACTAATTTTCCTCTGTAATTAATAGAGCTTTAAATTATTGTAATACTTAATGCATTAACTTATCCGATTATGAAGTTCATGAAAAATGAATGTATTATCACGTCGTTTAAATGCGTTTTTAATTATTTTTCATTAAAATTTAAATAATAAATATCTTTCTATAGGATTTAGTAAATTAATGTTCTCGTCATTCGATAATAATAGTAATTTAGTACATTTTATACTTGAAAAATAATCTTATAAAATGTTCTCAAAATCGCTTTTGTTTATAAAAATACAAATTTAATATCGAGTTTTAATTTGTGAAGTTATTTCGATGAAGCTAAACAGATAAATGATGCGCTTCGGCGAATCACTTGTTATATAACGATGAACAGCGATTATCTTGACGTATGTATGACGTATTTAGAACAGATCATACACATTGAATTTCATATAATAAATGGCTAATGTATAATTCATCTGCTAAAGCGATAACATTCGTTTCATATGATATCGTTAACGCGATTAACGGAATCCCAATGATATGATGCGGANGTTGAGCTTTTCGAGAGCTTGCATTATGTTCATCTGGCACTTATCGAATTTCGTCCAGTAGCGAGTCTGCGTAAATTTTAATGTAAAGTTATTTTCGCTTCGTCGAATTTACCGGAAGAAAGAATTAAAGCTGTACTTACTCTTTCGCCGACGAATTGTACAGTTTGATTATTGTGCATTTTCCTATAAGTTTCTCGTACTCTTCTCTGAATATGATCGTCCTGAAAACCAACAGCGATTATAAGTTAAATATGTAATAAATAAGAAATTGCACAGCGTCTAAATGACTTTAGTTACCTTGTCCGTCGTGTACTGTCTGAATTCTTCCATCTTTTTGTGTTCTGGACGATAATGTTCGGAAGGGTCTAGCATTAAGACGGAGTTGTACAGCAACGTGTTGTTAATATGAGGCATGTCGACGACTGCTACGCTCACTGTAGTTGATTTGATAGAAGAATATAAGCTTACAATAGCTTATATCTTAGTTATATTTAAAGTGATGCTCTGCCAGTCTGTTCGAAAACTTTTATAGAAAAATTTGAAAGTTGGGTGGAAACTAATTTCGAGATTATTGGAGTTGTATTGGCGAAAGGCGACACACCCACCATTTGATTGGTTATTGATAAAGAAAATTGCTATCGACGTTACATAAATATCAGCTGATAGTGACGTCGAATTGACGAAGTTGTAACCAGTTTGATCCGGTTCATATGCTTAATTAAATATAATGCGTCAATTAAATACATCAACTTAATTAACTTTATTTTTACGTATTAGATATCACTTTTTACAGCATTAAAAAAATGTTTTTTTTTTATTTGTTCTTACAGCGAAGTCTAACACAACATTATTTCCGAAAATGCAGAAATGGTCGAAGAACAATAATTAATTCAACACCGTTTTTTATNAATTCCCTGATCCATTTCAACATGGACATGTCTTTGTTGTTGCATAAATATTCGTAGTCTTTTCCCGTGTGCCACGGATAGAACGAGTGGAACCTGATGACGTACAGAGCTTCTTCGGGTAGAGAAGTACTGTGATTCTTTAATACTCGGTACATGTATTCGTCGTGGCCCCAAGACATTAAAACGTTCTCCAAGCCGCAGTGCTCTTCGTATATGCCAAATTTAGTGTTGTATCTGGCATCTTTTGTGTCGGGATTGTCTTCGAAGGTGCTGGATCTGTACACGATGGAGTTTGCGGGAGCGCATCCCACCGGAAACGTATCTCCCACCACCGCCCATTGAGGTTCTCCGTACAGTGCCATCAGTTTTCCCAGATCGTGGATTAAGCCCGTCAGATGGAACCATTCCAATTGAGGGTGAGCTTGACGGATTCTTTCGGCAGTTTGGAATGCGTGCACGATATTAGGGATGTCGACGTCGGGATCGCTCTCGTCTACTAAAGCGTTGAGCTTTTCGAGAGCTTGCATTATGTTCATCTGGCACTTATCGAATTTCGTCCAGTAGCGACTCTGCACAAATTTTAATGTAATGTTATTTTCTCTTTGTTGACTTTTCCGCAAGAAAGAAATTAAAGCTGTACTTACTCTTTCGCCGACGAATTGTACAGTTTGGTTATTGTGCATTTTCCTATAAGTTTCTCGTACTCTTCTCTGGATATGATCGTCCTGAAAACCAACAGCGATTACAAGTTAAATAAAGCGTCTAAATAAATAAGAAATTGCACAGCGTCTAAATGACTTTAGTTACCTTGTCCGTAGTGTACTGTCTGAATTCTTCCATTTTTTTGTGTTCTGGACGATAATGTTCGGAAGGATCTAGCATTAAAACGGAGTTGCACAGCAACGTGTTGTTAATATGAGGCATGTCGACGACTGCTACGCTTATTGTAGTTGATTTGATAGAAGAATATAAGCTTATAATAGCTTATATCTTAGTTATATTTAAAGTGATGCTCTGCCAGTCTGTTCGAAAACTTTTATAGAAAAATTTGAAAGTTGGGTGGAAACTAATTTCGAGATTATTGGAGTTGTATTGGCGAAAGGCGACACACCCACCATTTGATTGGTTATTGATAAAGAAAATTGCTATCGACGTTACATAAATATCAGCTGATAGTGACGTCGAATTAACGAAGTTGTAACCGGTTAGATCCGGTTCATGTGCTTAATTAAATATAATGCGTCAATTAAATACATCAACTTAATTAACTTTATTTTTACGTATTAGATATCACTTTTTACAGCATTAAAAAAATGTTTTTTTTTTATTTGTTCTTACAGCGAAGTCTAACACAACATTATTTCCGAAAATGCAGAAATGGTCGAAGAACAATAATTAATTCAACACCGTTTTTTATGTTGTACTGTATTTACATTTGCACTTGATATTTATCTGATAAATTGGAAATGACGCGATAGAGTAATCGACCTTGATTATGATATATTTAATGTAAAAATTATCTCTTAGTTTATCTGATTTTGTCTGAAAGTGTCATAGCTGTTTTATTATTTTTTTTTATTACTGCTTATAAAAAGAACTGAAATAATGCAAAAAACCATTTAAAAGATACTTATCATCTTTAAACGGCTTTAATCTTTGATTAATGCATACATCATGCGATGCTCTATGTGTTTATTAAAAATTATATAAGGTACATGTCATTTTGATCAAAGAAATACAAGTACAATAGAATTTCACCACACTTATTTGAACATGTAAAAATATAAATCTGTAAATTATTGATAATCCTATTTTCATTATTTGAATTCTAATTGGCCTATTCTCTATTAACAAATAGTCTATAATGGAATTTTTGGACTTTTATACAATAAGTAAGTATACAATACAATAAGTATACCCAAGTCACTAAACTAATTTAAATTTCATAATTACATTGTATATTCTCAAGTGTATACAGTGATATAAAATATAGTTATAACTTGTTAGAGGATGTTTGAAGGTATATTTGTTTGTTAATTAATTATAAAGCTGTTTCTATAGACTGCATTTAAGTTAAATTTATAATTTTATATGTAATTATATACAGTTGAAAATAAATTTGTTTTAAATATGTATATAA